AAGCAGGAAAAGCAGGCGATGGAGGCAAGGAGGTGCGGGCTTTCTCAACCCTAGGAACGACTGTCCTGGGCAGGCCAAGGAGGAGCACCAGGAGATGAAGGTGGAGGCTGCTCAGCTGCGACAAGCCTTGGGCAAAGCCGAGCTGGCGAAGGTGGGGAGGAATCGTTCCGTGGGCTGGGATTTTCTTGGCCTGTCAGGACATGACAGAGGTCGGCCTTGCGGACGCCAAAAAGTCCGAGGCCGGGGGACGTTGAAATCGGCAAGCAGCTCTATTCACTTCGGAGACGGATGGATGCGCCTGCTTCACGGAGGAGCTGATGCAGGGCAGAATCCGCCACATCGAGAAGGCGCCGCATCTCCTTGTGCGGGTGGGGGCGGGGTTCAGGGAAGCGTAGAAAACACTCGATTTCTTAGCGCCGCGCAGGCCGGGAAGGAGGCTCGCGAGGAGGCAGATGCCAGGCTGCTCCGCATCGAGGCCCGACGGTAAGAGGTTGGTTTGCAGGATCGCAGGGGTTTTGGATCGGCAGGCATCAACTGAGAGGTTGGAGCAAGGGATCACGTTGCAAGAAGTCGCACTTGACGGGACTTTTGGTGAGTCCGCAGGCATCGACCGAAAGATTGGAGCACGCGGCAATGCGGCTGAAGGAGACTTCTGTGGAAGCCGAGGTCGGTGGGGTCTAGATCCAGAGGGCATTTCAAGCAACGCTTAAAGTTCATGATCAGCTGATACAGGTGCAGGCCCAAGAGCTCCGCGAGGAGACATCGGAACAGGCGGGGCGCTCGAGTCGAGTTGTACTCGTGTGGCAAGGCTCACGTGCCTCGATTCGTCTTTCGTGCGGAGGATGTGGAGATCCAGAGCCTCCGCACTGAGCTGGAGGCAGCGGAGTTGGAGGAGGTGGGTTCTGTTGCAGCAGGCATCCCTGTTATCATCATCATCATCATCATCCTTGTCTCCTGCTGCGTCTCCTCCTGATCATCACTGGCATCATCCGCGTTATCACCATCGTCGTCAGCAACACTGCAGCATCACCGCCATCACAGGCAACATTCGCACCACTTAGTCTCGTTGGCTGTTAGCATTTTTCTGGGTTGTGCGAAACGGCCTGCCAGGAGCTGCTCAGAAACGCACTGCGGGAGCAGATGCAGAGGCAAACTCAGGACTTCTTATCTTGCGTGTGTGTGGAGTGGATCCCTTGTACACATCTGATGATAGGAGTTACCTATGATGAGCCCGTTCTCACCTCGCCCGACGAATGCTCCGCTTCCGACTCCTGTCTCGGGGCTGCATCATAAGGTCAGGATTCTGAATGCTAATGCGTACACCATTGCCTCTCAGGCAGCGGCTTTGCCAGCACGGTTGACTCCGAGTCCAACATCTCCGGCCACCTCACTCAAACGAGGGAGGGGCCAAGGGCGACATGCAATTTCAGTCTAGTGAACTCAGGCTCCGGTCCCTACAGAATTGGCCGATGACAGCGACGGGGAGGACAGGTGATTCGAGCCTCTTGACAAAACTACATGAGCCGGTCAATCTCCGTACGTAGCGTTATCGAATGGACCGTGCTAAGCTCCATGTGAACTCAGGCTCCGATGCCTACAAGGCCTACAAAAGTGCCCAGCGAGCAGGACCCGTGATTGAGTGAGCCTCTTGACAGAATTGAAATACTTCATCAAGTTTTCGTTCACTTCGTTGTCCGACCTGTGACAGCCTCTCCTTATAACTTTGGGCCCCGACTTCAGTCGAGTCCAAATGCTTGCTCCATCAGCAAGCCAAGGCCAAGCCAAGGACGGCCTCAGCGATTGATCTGGATGTTGCACTGAGTCACGGCACGACGGCCATCACCTCTTCCAATGACCCTACGGTAGCAACTGGAAAGTTTCTCTACCTTTTGGGTACCAGGTACCACAGCCGTGCAGCGATCTTCCTTGCTGTCTGCTCAACATATCTTCAGCTCAACCTGTGTCAAGCAGAAAACAGTATGCGTTTGGGAGGAAGGTTGCTGAGGCTGAGGCTCGGGTGCCCCGACGTGGCCCAGCCTGAGCCAGAGCAAAAAAGTGCTGCAGCTGACATGAGTCAAGCCCGTCTGAGCATATCGTCGCATGCCATGACTCAGCCTTCAGGGAACGGCTTCGCATTTCCGTTTCGCCACTGCGTGGAAATACAAGTTTCGGCTTGGTCTGGCGGTGTTGGGGGTTGACGGATTGCCATGAACCTTTTTGCCGTTGCCTTTCCTACCGACCCACTGATTCAGGTCGTGGATTGGGCCGGGCGCCGAGCAGGTGCTGTGGGTGGGCATCGAACAGGTGCTGCTGGCGAGGTGCTAGAGTCTGCTAGAGTGCTAGAGCTGCTAGAGCGAGGGGCGCTGAGCAAGTACAATCTGTATCACTGTATCGTTTTGGCACTATTTGTCGGCACCATCGCAAGGCCGCTCGGATTCGACTCATCGACTCGACTATGCGAGCCGGTACCTCACATTCGCAGCAGTCGCGACAGTTGGCAGTTCATGCAGTTTCAAGCAGAGTCAGCTGACATGAGTCAAGCCCCAAACCTTGTCGGCTGCGGCCATACCTTTGCCTTGTGCCCTGGCCCTGCCCTAGTTGGCCTTACCTGCCCCCTGGAACGTTTGTACATCCGCTGCTGGAATCCTCAAGGTTATTCTACCAGACTAGGGAGAAAAAATATCATCAGTTTTGGGGCCAGGGGGCCTCTTTGAGAATGGCTCATGATGCTGCTGCCCGTGGCTCGGCGTCACCGGTGACAGCGGACCCTGCAGGCCCTGGAGCTGCAGAGGGCAGTTCTGCTCGCGAGGATGAGGCAACGGTCGAGGTCGTGACTGAAGACCAAAGGCACACAGCAGCGGCAGGACTTCTGGGAGTCGCCTTGAGTCGCTTCATGCGTGCTCGCAGCAGTCGAAGCCGCTCACCTGTGGCCAGCACAAGACCGCCTGCACCTGTGGGCAGCGCAAGACTGGCTGCACATGCAGACATGAGTGATGGTGACTTTCGTGAGCTCCTCGTGCTCATGACGGCAAGGATTGACGACCTCGAGAACTCCGTGGACGGCTTAAAAGCACAGATTCGCAAGCTCGACAGTGAGATCCCCGTGCTGAAGGCTGAGCTCATGATGCAGATGTGCAGAAATCTTCAGCGCCACGACAGGCAGCATGACTTGACCCTAAATTCGTTCAACGATCTGTCTCATCGTCTTGAAGCCCTCCGTCGTTCACCTCATGGACCTTCGCCGCCAACACCCTGAAGGTTTTCGGCTTGGATGGCAGGGCTGTATAGTATAGTGAGAAGCCTTCTGCTTCACCGGTCGTCTCAAGCGCAGCAAGGCCAAGGCCATCACGTCGGCGTGCTGTGCAGCTTGTGTTTCAGGCCCTTTCAGGCTTACCTGGCAACAGTTTGGATCTTGTTGCGCCAAAGAACGCTTGCATTTGCTGCCTATGCCGTGTGCTTGACCTAGGACCTCCTCCCATGTCCCATGTCCTGAACATATCCCTACCGAACCATCACTCAGCATGATCTCCAAAAAAAGGACCTAGGATGTGCTTAGGTTGGTATGCTGCTTCACCTGAAGTGAGTAAACTTCCTGTGGTCCTGAGTCCTGTTGCCCGAGTAGCCCTAAGCCTAGGCCCTAAGCCGTGCCCTCCTAGTAGCTGGCCGCAGTGCTTTACCCCCGCAAGACCACCAGTTCAGTTGTTTTACACTTTGGCCATAAATCACTTCCCAGGCCTGCCCACGTCGTGGCATCCAAGGACCGAAGCGGTGTCAGTGCCCAAGCCGGCATCCTGTTATGTCTTGACTCTTGACTCTTGACATGTCTTGACTTGACAAGCAGGTTTCATAGCTTGCAGAGTCTAGAGTGTCTAGAGGTCAGCCGTCTCTGAAGGAAGTTTGTGTTTGATTCTTGAATATTGAACTCGAGGACGGAGGTCTTCACATATCACTGCGCATCCCAGTGACGAAGGCTCGCAGTCGGATGTGTGTTCCTGAAAGAATAAGTAATAAATAACGTGCACCATGGAAGGTTTTTGGCTTTGCGTGATTCCAGGATTTCAAAAGAAGCAAGTGGATGCCATGTTAGGTTACGGTTAGGCCAGGCCTGTTAGACTGTTAGGCCATGTTGGTAAAAGTTATCGTGAGAGTGCTGTTTGCGAGACCACTGACCCAATTGTGATAGTGATAGTGCCCTTGTAGGTTACTGGACTGCTAATGCCACACTGCTATATAATCGAACCCCATGCCCCACACCCACCCATGCCGCACGTGCCCAGCTGGGAAAGATGATGGTTGCAACGACCGGTTTAAAGTTCACGGTCCACGGTTAGTAACGGTGCGTATAAGTATAGGTATCCGGCTTCG